TAACAATAATAATAATTATTATTATATTATCTTAAAAAAATATTTTAATTTAATTTTACTTATAGATTATAATTAATTTATAATATATTAGAGATTCTGTATTTAAAAAATTTGATATATAATATTGATATATATATATATAATACAAAAATGTTTTATTTTTAAATAATAGTTGACTGTACTGATAATAAATGTATTGTTATCATTCAACTGTGTTATATACAGTGTATTATCATTTATCATCAAATATATGACTATTGGGATATATATATATATATAGTATAGTATCAGTTTGATGATAGTTTTGTTGATACTTTATTTTACGATAGTTTATCAATAGATAGAGTAAGAGAGAGAGAGAGAGAGAGAGAGAGAGAGAGAGAGAGAGAGAGAGAGAGAGAGAGAGCAAAAAAATATAGTCAAATGGATTAATAGGATATAAGTTTTGTTTTATTTTATTTATATTTTTATTTATCACTATTGAAATAAAATAAGTTTTATGTGTGTGTATGTGTGTGTGTGTGTGTGTGTCTGTGAATTCAATTGAAATTGAAACAATAAAAAGCAATTGTTTGTTTTTTTTGTTTTTGATTGATTATTGTTTAAATGTAACTTTAAAAAATATTATATACAATTTTTTAGATATGTCAAAATCAATAGAAATATTCACATATTTTCAATCAATGATTTTAAAATTTATTATAAATAAAGTTTTTATAGTTAATATTTATCATAAAACTTATAACTTATAACTATAAAAGTTTACGAAATTTTTTTTACTAAACTTTAAATTTATATATTTAACTAAAAAAAATGTTTTTTGTTTGTTTGTTTGAGTCAACAATATTGTTAAAACATATATATAAATTAAGATATGATATATTAAAATAGTTTTAATGACTTTTTTCGATAATTTTATCTAATATTATGATTTGATTGAATAAATTATTTTATTTTAATAGTAAATAGTTTATAAAAATATATAAATAAAACATTGAATGTTTGGGTCCCAAAAATTAGTTTCAAAATATAGTTTCATAATTATATTAAAAATATACATTAGATTCGGTGGTTAAACAAGTTTTTTATATAACTTTTTTTAAAAAAAATAAATAAATTATTGATATAATCTAAAAGTTTTTCTAAAACTACAACATTATTACTGTAATTATTAGTAATTTTTTTTTGATAAGTAATTTAATACATTAGTTGTTTGTATGTACAGTACTATACATGTATGTGTTTTGACTTAACAAACAATTTGTTTTGTTATTATTGACATTTAATTAAACACTTGATTAGCATTACTGTATTGGATACTACATATTCAGCATATGTATCATACATTATTATAAGTAATATATATATATATATATTTGAAGTTAATTTTATTTTTTACTCCAACATCATCAAAGAAAATCATTAGTAATACTATTAAATAATATTATTAATAGGAAAAAAAGTCATTAAAATCATCGCAATATTTGATTTACTAATTTGTTGATAACTTTATTTTAGTTTTTTTAATATATTTATTAACTGTTTAACTATTTATTATTTTTTTGTATTAGTATATTTATTTGATTGATAATACTGTTAACAATATTTCAAATTTACTAATTATTATTATTATTTTTACAATTAGCAAATATATAAAAATTTCAATAGAGAAAAAACAACTCAATTAAAAATTATTTACAGTTAGAAAAAAATATGCAACTATTATTACTATTATATATTATGCAAATATTATTAATTAACTTTAATTATATACAAGTTATGTAAGTATTATTTATTTTTAAAAAATATATTTCATATAAATAATTATCATATAAAATCTATTTGTTTAATTTACTTTATGTTAACATTACTGTATATACAGTATATATTATTAAAACAAAATTGAAGTCAAATTTGTATAGTTTTTTAATTTGGTGCCCAAAACAACATTTAAAACAAAAAAAAAGTTATTAAAGCATGTATTTATAGTATTTGAATTTTTTTTAGGTATAATATCAAAAACAAATGCTATTGTTTTAGTAGAGAATATTTAGCATATATTGTGTATTGTATTTTAAAAAGTAATTTTACAATTTATAAATATAATGTATTAAAAATTATTGCATATATTTTTATTATTATGTATTTTTTGTTGAAACAAAACTAACTGTTTATGCGATATAAATGTCAATATATATACTGTATATAAAGTTTGAAATAATTTCCAAATACTATATATATATATATATATATATATATTAATAGTTAAATTCAGTTGAATTTTATGGATTTTATATATATATATAATATATTTTTAGGTTTTTTTTTGATTATTTATTAATAAATTCCTGAATTTTTTTATTGATCAAAAATAAATGTTAAACTTAATGTACATTTACATTTTTATGGGTACACAAAATTTGCTAAACAATTGACTGAAAAAAAATAAAATTGATAAAAAAATTTTTTTTGCATAACTTTTTTAAAAAAAAATACTTTTAAAATTTTCATAAATAATTTATTAGTAATGTTAGTAATGTTCAGGTAAATTATTAAAATAAAAAACTTATATAACTTTACTTAAATATTTATAAAGTTTGAAAAAAAATTGAAAAACTTGATTAAAAATAAAATAAATTAATAAAGTTATATATAAAAGTTATAAATTATTATATAGCGTTTGTACTGTATTTTTAAAAAAACATTTGTATTAATATTATTTTACTTTTTTAAAGACTTTTTTTTGAAATAATAAAAAGATAAATAATAAATTGATTATTTTTTGTTATTTTAAATAATAAAAAAATTTACCAATGGCAATATTATAAGATTTTATATTATATTTAATAAAAAAATTAATTTGTTAAATAATCTTTAACATTTAAGATTACTTTTTTATATAAAAAAAAAATTATAATAATTTTTATTTTGTTTTTTTAATGTTAACCGTAATTAAATATTTTTCATATATTATTTTTATATTTTATGTTTTATATAATTTATATGCAAAATCACATTTATTGCCGGGTCATTTACTTTAACTATTATTATTATCATTATTATTAATATTATTATATTTTTATTTGCATAATCATCATTATCTACAATATCTATATATTTACAGGAATAATGTGAATGCAAATAGAAATTATTTTTTTTAAAAAAAGTTTCTAAGAAAATTTCTAGAAATTATTTTAGATATAATTGAATCTAGAATTTTAATAAAATCGAAATTTAGAAAATAATTAAATTTATATTATTTATAAACTAAGAATCTAATTACATTTAATTAACATTATTTATTTATTCAAAAAAAACATAATAATAAAATATTATACATTTTATTAGATAAAAATAGTGTTTTTTAAAAGAAATTTTACTATTTTTTGTGTCATTTCTAAATTGTGAAACATATAATACATATTAAATAATTTTAGTTTTTAGTTTCAACGCTAAACACTAAAAGCATTTATTAAAAATAATTATATTAATAATAATTATAATAATAATAAAAAAAAAACAAATTAATGTACGCTTTTGTAATTATTTCCTAAATTAAAGTTAATGACAGTCTAAATGACAACAAATTTAAAACATAATATTGTATTATTTTTGTTGTTGAGATTTTATTGAATTTAATTTTTAAAATATTTTAATTGTATTATATTATTACGTTATATTATTATTATTATTATTATTATTAAATGATATATTTAATTATAGCAAATAAATCTATTGAAATATCTTGTTTTAACTGTTTAATAGAATTAAATATAATAATAATATTTATTTAATTATTTATTTAAAAAAATACATTTTCAATATTTCTAGCAAATAATTATTATTTGTTATTTTTTTTAAATAATTGATTTAATATTTAATTAATTATTATACTTACTTATTATATGCTAATTTTGATTATTATCAAATTGTTATTTTTTAAACATTATATGCTATAAATAATTTACTACTACTATATAATTAATAATAATAATAATTTTTATTTCACATATTACATATTGTTTTTTTTGAATAAATAAAATATAAATAGTTAAATAGTAATAAACATTTATATATAATTTATATATGATTTATGAATGATTTTTATTTACATTGAAATTTATAATTAAATATTTAAAATATAAATTAAAATGTTAAATATATATATATATATATTTATACATTGTGTGAGCTTGTTAATTTTTAAAAAATAAATACAATAAATTAAATTTATTTATGATTAATGACTATATACAGTAAATTGTATCCATCATGTTTACAGTATATTTATTTATTTATTTATATAATAAATAATAAATTATATATTTTTAATTTATAATAGAATATACAGTCTTATTAACATAAATATAAATTTATATATATTTTTCATTATAATAATAATATTAAACAATTGAATTTACATATACTGTATAATATTAATATAATAAATTGTTAATATATTTAATATTTAACATATTAATACCAGTATATACTGTATATATATATATTGTTACATAAAATTTAACTGAACGTAAGTCAACATAAATATATATATATAATATTTTAATAACACTATAATAACAGTTTATTTATTTTTTGTAATCATTAAGTTTATTATAATCTATTAAATAGTTTATATTCAATATATTTATTTATTTATAATTAATAGCATTCAAGTTAATTATTAATAAATGAATTTTTATCTTTAATAAACATATTTATACTAAAATGTTAACAAATTTATATAATGATAACGTAAAATATATTAATATTTTATATATAATCTGTATATATATACTGTACTGTACATACAAATTATATACATATTATTTATATAATGTTGTAAAACCTTAAAACTGTGTAAACAAATTGATTTATACAAACATATTATTATTATTATTATAAGTATTAATATTATTTTTTAATAATATTAATAATATATATATAGACGGATTATTATTATTTTTTGTATAATATTTTTTGTTTTATTTTATTTTTTTTCAACTAAGATAATAAATCCAATAAATAATATTAAGTATAATGAATGACATGGGGAACGTCCATCGGGAAATGTAATCAATAAATAAGGCTTTATCATGCTGCCGTTTGGCCATACCATTGTAATACGACTGTCCCTGATGACCCTATATAATAAAAATAATAATAATAATAATATATATAGTAGACATCATAATTATCTATTAAATTACCGCGCGCCATTTTCATTGTATTATTATTATTATCGTTATCATTATTATGATATTATTGTTATTATTATTATTAATATTATCATCATTTGTATAGTTATTTTTATTTTTTTATTTTATTTTTATTTTTTTATATATAGAGTAGACTAAAATAATAGTAATAATACTGTATTTAGTAATAATAATAATAATAATGAATATTTATTTTCTAATAATAATATTAATAATAATAATTTCTTATATATTAATGTATCAAATTTATATTTGTAATATTATATCTAACAGTGGTATTATACAGTGTATTATAATATTTTTATTAATACTAATATTATACAACAAAACAAACCGAAAAAGTTTTATATCATAATATGTCAATCAAAAAAATAAAATAAAAATTAAATTAATATACTGTATATATTTATAGTTTAATTATGATCTAATTAAAAAAAATTAGTTTATAATAATAATCTAATAATTTTTGTTTAGCATAAATTATTTATAAATTGTTTTCATTGATATTAATTTATCAATTATGTCGGGTATTAATTATATATATACTAATTAATTATAGTCTATTAATATATATAGTAAAATCTAGACATTAAATTTTAATTGTAATTGTAATTAATTTTATTTATTTATTCAAAAAATATTAGCAAATTTAGTAAAAAAAAGTTTTTAATTTGTTTGTCAAAAAATAAAATAATTAATTTTCTAAATTTTAATATCTAAAAATTATACCAAAAATAATTTATTATTATTATTATTAGATTTAATTTTATATATACGGAACAGAAATTTTTGTTTTGTTTTTTATTATTTGTTATAATTAACTGAAAAATATTTATTTAAGATTTTCATTTTAATACCTAAATTACTGTATAATAATATTAGTAGCTTTTAAAAATCATAAGACATTAATTTTATGGAAACTTTTTTTTTTTTAATTGGCTAATGAAATCATAAATACTTGAAATTGTTTATCTAATATTTTTTTATTATTATTAAAAATCTTATGTTTGTTTTAAGTATATATATATATATATATATATATATATATATATATATAAATTATTTATATAAACTTTCAACAAAATACAAACAAAAGACAATTAAATTATTAATAATATATTTCTATAAAAGATTTTTAGTTCAAAAACAATTTTTTGATATTTATATAATAATACTGTATATTAGTTAGTAATATTAATTAGTAATAATAGTACAGTATATATATTATTGTTATATTATAATATATAAAATTAATTTTAATGTTTATAATATCAAATAGTATTGTGTTTTAAAGACTAGTTTTAAAATTCAAACAAATTATTATTATTATTATAATTATTAAAAATTTTTAACATATCAAAAGCAATTGTATTTATTATTATTATTATTAAATAAAAATTTTTGGTCTCAATTGTATACTTCACTGTAATGTTCAAGTGCTGTAATACAATGATAACATTACAGTACAATATAAAATGTTAACTTAAAATTCAATTATATTATTATTATACACTGAAATATTGTGTGTTTAATAATAAAGATATTATTATTATTATTATTATTATTTTACTTTTAAAAAATATAAATTTCTATAAATAAATTACAATTGTTTATAAACATGCATTAGATAAAAATATTATATACAGTATTATTATAGCAGAAATAAATAAATGTATAAATAAAATTACATTTATATTAGATAAAATAAAATATATTTTTTTGATATTTTTATGATTTAAATTTAGCTATAATTTTATTTAGTATATTTTGATATACTAGTAATCAAGCAAAATTATTTTTATTTTTATAGTCTATAATATAGACTCTATATTAACTAAGATTACATTTTTTCCGACTCAATCATAAATAAATACTGTATAATATATTTGTTTGTTTTTAAAAGACAACTTAAATTGCTAATACATTTGTAAGTCACAAACTAGTAATACGATTAAAACAATTAAATTATATTGATATTTAAAGTATTTATTATTATTAGATAAGTTATATATGTATTAATATTTATACTGTAGGTTATATAGTAAATAATAAGTGTATATATATTTTTATATATAAATATTAAATGCTAATTCTAACATTACTAATGTTATTTTTTTATTTGAAAAAAGTATTAGATATACACTTGAATATATATATATATATATATATATATATCAAAATATTTATAAAATCTTATATTATATTTATAATCTATTAAAAGCTAATACTTGTATTTTTAAATGTTATACAGTAAATATATTTTTTTTGATATATATTTATTTAATATCTTGTATATTGATTTTTATTAGTAACTAAAAAAAACATTACTAAGCCTTACTAATAAAAATAAAACAAAAATTAAAAACATAGCTTTAAGAAAGTAAATTAAATGAATATTTTTGTGTGTTTTTGTTTGAAAATATTATTATTTGATTAAATAACATTTGAAATAAAATTATTGTTTGAATTTTATTTTCTAAATTATTGTTTGAATTTTATAATAATTTTATTTCTATCAAAAAACAAAAACATTTACATATATATTAAATTTGAATAATAATTAAATATCTAATAAAATAAAAACTAAATTGCTTTAAATAAAATAAAAATACTTGATTTTACGATTATTAAGCTAAGTGTCAATATTGTTAATGTTATTTTATTTTTTAAAAATATAAATGATATATAGATATACACTATAAGTAAACTTAATTATTTACATAATTTATAATATATTTATCAGAAAAAATTTATTATTGTCTAATAAATATTTATTAATTATTTGACTATAAAGTTTTTGTTATGCAATTCAAAACAAAAAAATTAATTTAAATATGTAAATAAGCTATGTAAATTAGTTAGCATAAATTTTTGTTTAAACAATATATATAAATATAATACTATATAAACTATATGAATAATTAATCAATCAATTGTTAAAATACTTTATTATCCAATAATAACTACCAAATATATATAAATTTATATATTTAAAAAACTATAATATATAAAAATTTTAATAATACTATTTTAATAATTTGTTTCCTATTATTATTATATATTACTATATTTGCTTTTTTATTATTACTATAGATTACAATATTTTAAATTATTTAATGTTTAGTTTGACGGAAAATAAAATTCAATTTTTCAAATCTATTGTTTGTTTAATTTAAATATAAATATTTTTATTTTTGAATAAATAAAAATTAATTATTAATTATATCAATCAATCAATAATAGCGCATATTTTTTTAAAAAAAAAAACAGTATTAAAATTTATTATCAATATATTATGGCCCATACCTTGGCTGTAGTATATAAAGGCATTGTTGTAGCGTTTTGATGGCCACCACCGGCGGCGGCGCCAGTTTGCGGCTGTTTTGAATTAGGCGGCGCCGTCCCTGTTGTTGAGTTAGGCGACATCGTGTTGTTTGAGCGCACACCCGTCCCCTGACCACCGCCACCATTACCACCCGTCGGCGATGATGACGTTGACATATGATTCAAGTTGTTGTGGTAGTGATAGTTGTTATCGTCGACCAACAATATGTTGACCAATGCATACTCCATGAGCGATGCAAACACAAACAGTGTACAGGCGGACATGAATATGTCGATGGCTTTAATATAGGAAACGGGTGGCAATGATTTTTGCGATTGAGCATGCTGAGTGGCCAAGGTCAACAGTGAGGTCACGCACAGGGTTACCCGTGCTGGTACTGCTTCCGGCTGTTGAGGAGATAGGGGTAGGTTATTGGGTAGGTATTTGGGTAGGTATTGGGTAGGTATTGTGTAGATATTGGGTAGATATTGGGTAGATATTGGGTAGATATTGGGTAGATATTGGGTAGATATTGGGTAGATATTGGGTAGATATTGGGTAGATATTGGGTAGATATTGGGTAGATATTGGGTAGATATTGGGTAGGTATTGGGTATCCAATGATACAAATGGTGGGTTATATTATGTGATTTTGTTGTTATTGAGAATATATATATAATTTTAGGAAAAGGGTTGTTAAAAATTGTATATAAATATATTATTAATTAACTATTATTTTAAAAAAAAATTATTGTTATTAATAATTTTACCTTTAACCAAAATGATATCCACGACATTATAACAATAAGGCAGGTCGGGATATATGTGTGAAATATATAATATCCTAAATATATATATATATATATATAAATTAAAAATTATATTTAGTATTAAATGTATTTTTTTAATTCAAAAACTAACCCAGTCTCCTTTTTATTGTAAATAATACTTGAACGCACGTAAAGTTACCTATAAATACAATAAATGTTATCAAAAAAAAAATAAAAGTTTATTTTCTCATTATTATTTCAATTTCAAATAGGTATTACTATTTTGATTTTATTTTAGTTTATTTTGTTGGGAATCAGTCATTAGGAAAAATGTGTGATAGAAATAATTTTTTTTTTTTTTAAATAAAAAATCTATCCATTCATTACAATGATATTTCAATAATAATAATAATAATAATAATAATAATAATAATACTAATAATAAAAATTTCCAAATGAATTGTGTCCACAATTTATATATATATATATAAACTTATATATATATATATATTGTTGTCGACTAATGATGTACTGTATAGTCGACTATATATTTAATATATATATATATATATATACTGTATATATATTTTTTACATCAAAAAAAGGTAAACAAATTATCAACAAATGTTACGCACAGTTTTGATTCAATGCACAGTTAGTTAAACAGTCGGTATATGTTTTTTATT